CACACATTTATACACACTTTTTATGTTTGCATGTACAAAAAGCAAAGAGTAACAGAAACTCTTAGTGACCTTTGTAATGACCTTCATCCAACATAGATAACACTGTTGGCCCCTGTCTCCATTTCTCAAAATATAAACCAATCTTAAATTTTGTCCTAAATGAGGAGTCCACTTACTGAAAGTTGGATCTCATTTTAACTGCCAACACCAGCTGGATAGTGAAATGGTTTGGGGCCAAGTGTAGGATTCCACAGAACAGAGCTGAAACGAGGGGGTTCCAGCCAAATAAAGAAACCACGTGCTGCTGATTGAGTTTCACTGCTGGTGAAGAACAAACTCCCCAGGACTTCAAAACCGGTATTCATAGTCTGTTTCTATGCTGTTCCATCGAATTTTGCTTTCTAGACCAGCCATATTTTAGGCAGCAGAAAGTCAGTGTTTGGACTTGTAGTTCAAGTGAAATATTACTCACAGAAAACCCGGGATGTTTTAGGATATTCCAGAGGGCCATTGTGTAAAAATAATTGGTGTGTCTGTAACTGTAAGGGACATCCCCAGGCCTAGGAAGTTAGGATTTCCCCTGTAACCTTAGGACTAAGTTGGATTGTCCACAAATAGAAAGACAGTCTTGGTCTCTGCACCCAGTCGCCCACTTTTCCCAGTTTACTCTTTAGTTTGTGTTTGAATATTGAGGCCAATATAAAAATTTTCCATCTTTAAGTATCGAAATCTATTTCTGGATTCTGGGTTGGGCCAAGGTGACAGGTGTGTTAGATTTAATGTTTGTGTTGAGCAGAATACGACAATTCTCTACAGTTATCCAATGTATAGATAGAGTACCTAAAATATTATCTAAGTCATCTAATAAAGATACCTTTTGAGATTGATTTATCATCATGTCTGTGAAGGAAGCATACTGTTTGTGGTAGGTAGAATAATGGCCTGTATCAAAGATATCTATGTCCTAATATACTGAACCTGTGAATATATGAGATTTCACGGCAAAGGGGAATTAAGATTGTAGATGCAATTAAAGTTGCTAAGCAGTTGACTTTAAATGGGAAGATTATCCTGGATTGGATTGAGGGAGGCAGGAGAGTCAGTGTCTGAGTGATGCAACATGACAAAGACTCAACTGGTCATGGTTGGCTTTGAGGATGGAGGGAGATGCCCTGAGCCAAGGAACATGGGCACCCACCATCCAGAAGCTCTAAAAGGCAAGGAAACACATTTCCCCCCAGAACCTCCAGAATGGAACATGGTCCTGCTAACCTTTTTATTTTGGTCCAGTGAGACCTGTTCTAGACTTCTAACCTCCAGAACTTTAAGGGAACAATTTGTGTTGTTTTAAGCCACTAAGTTTGTGGCAGTTTGTTATAGCAGCTAAAGAAAACTAACTCTTCTGTGAATTGAAGTTAAAATAGATGCACATTAAAAAAAAAAATATATATATATATATATATATATATATATATATTTTATTTATTTCAGAGAAAGGGAGAAGGAGAAGGAGAGAGAGAGAAAAAAGAAAGAGAGAGAGAAACATCAATGACGAGAGAATCACTGTTTGGCTGCCTCCTGCACGTCCCCTAATGCAATCTGGGCATGTGCCCTGACTGGGAATTGAACTGTGACCTACGGTTCATAGGTCAGTGCTCAACTACTGAGCAACACTGGCCTGGAAAAATAGGTGCACATTTAAAATATCTTGGTTTAAACTCTCAGAGTCATTCTGAGGAGACAAGCCATGTGTGTCTTCTGCTAACCTGTTGCTTATAAGTCTGTCCATCAAAATGTCACATACTGGGTGGACACTCTCGGCAGTGTCACCTCATTTTACAGCTTGGCTCCCCAGTCTTCTCTCACTTGTAAAACTCTGCAATTCTGCAGTCTGAGATTCTGTGGCGATCCCATCTGACTGGAAACAAGCATCTATACTGGCATGTGAGAGCTGTTAACTGATGAAGTTATCAGAGAACTGGGCAAAAGTGCGAGTCTGAATGCTGATGGGAAATGAAACTTGAAACCAAATTCAAACAAGTTTGAGAACAGACAGAGGAATTTAGAAGTTCATGATGTAGAGGGGGTGAGATGTAATTAAGTCTGTACATCGATTTAAAAAAAAATGGTATTCTTTTTGACACATTTCCTAGGTGGACTTCTACTCAGTTCACTTGTACAACTCTACTAACTGGTTCAATAGAAACAAAATTCGCAATTTTCAACATCTTCAGAAAGAGGCTTAGCATCTAGGCAAAGAGCAGAGCTCTAACACCAAAGTATGTGAATAATACTTATGGCAGACCTGGTTACCAATGCCTAGTACTACGTGCTGCACCAAGGACTGTTGTCACATGTGGTGAGCCTTAGAAACATGCTAAGTGAAAAATGTTGTCACAAAAGACCAAATACTGTGTAATTCCATTTATATGCAATGTCCAGAACAGGCAAATCTCTAGAGCCGGAAAGTAGGTTGGTAGTTGCCTAGAGCTGCAGGAGTTGGGGGTAAGAAGGAGAGTGACAGCTGATGGATGTGAGGTTTCTTTGGGGGATGATGAACATATTTTAAATTTGGTTGTGGTTTTGTTGCACTACTCTGAGTACACCCCAAACCATTAAATCCTATATTTTCAATAGATGAGTTGTATGGTATGTGAATTATATCTCTAAAGAATTGCAAAAAAAAAGGGTAGGCCTGTGAGGGTAACTGCATGATGGAGAGCTTAACCACAGCAATATTGGGGTTTGATAAAAGCAACTTCTGAGAGTATCTTAGAGGTGTTGTAAGTATCTGTTTTCTGGAATTGGAGTTGTAAGGGTCAAAGATGCTGCTCCCTTATTTCTGAAGATTGTAGTTTTGACTGTTGGTTTTAGGATTTGGTTTATTGGGCAGTGAGTCAGTGGTCTTACTAGATGTGTCTAGAGACTTCTATTTTTCCTTTTCTCTCTGCCTGCAGGGATCATGGCTAGATCCCTGGTAAATGTGTGTCTGTGATACGGTTCTGTTGCCACAAGAACAGCCACATGCACCCTGGGAGGTCTTGTCATGATCCTAGGCATGTGTTTTTTTTAAAATCCCATCCAGTACCATATAATTGCTGCACTTTATAATATCATAATTATAAGGCTAATAATTATAAGGCTTATGATTGTTTTCAGTATGCGTTTTTATAACATGAGAAAATGGTCTGGCAGCACCTTGAGGAGGGCAGCAGTAGGATTTTGGGAAGGTTTTGCAATATTTTCTTGCTTGCTTTTTTTTTTTTTTTAAATATATTTTATTGATTTTGTACAGAGAGGAAGGGAGAAAGATAGAGAGTTAGAAACATCGATGAGAGAGTCATCCATCAGTTGCCTCTTGCACACTCCCTACTGGGGATATGCCCGCAACCAAGGTACATGCCCTTGACCGGAATCGAACCCGGGACCCTTCAGTCCCCAAGCCGACGCTCTATCCATTGAGCCAAACCGGTCTTGGCAGCAATATTTTCTTATTGAGAGGTTCTGTACCGTCCTGCACTCTTTGGCTCTTCCCGGGTGCCTACTGAGCATAGGGCTCTTGGAGATGTTCTAGCTACATGTGTACAAACACAGTATTGGTATGGCTTGCTCACTAATGGCAGGACCATTTCCCAGGCTGGTGTCACCAAAGCCTTAGCCAGGGGCAGCTGCTGTCCCTCAGCATTCCTGGAGGCCCCCATGGAGGTTGGAGCAGCGTAGTGGGGTACCCCCTTGTGGTGTCTGGAACAGCCAAGGCCAGAGCCACTGTCCCTGCTTCTGCCAGTGCTGTATCTCAGGGCCTTCCACGTTTAGTCTGCCCCCTTGAGCTCCTTGGTGCTTCCTGGAGCACTAAGTCAGAAGGAGGAGCAGATCCTCAGGACCCAGGCAATCAGTTAATTATTCACAAACATTTTATTATCTTCTCTTCCATTCACAAAACCTCAAATGAGGGCATTGTTCTAGTTAATAGAATAGAGGTTAAAGTGCACGAGGACAGACAAATTTAACTAAGAAAAGAGGAACTAACCCTATGGCCCCATTGGGAAATAAGTCTTTGGCAGGTATGTACAATGGAGGAGTTACCTGTTTTGGGAGGAGGGCAAGAGCCCCTTGCAGTAGGAAGACTGTAGTGCCTGTGCACCTGTCGGAGCATAGTCTAGAAAAACGCGGGAGTGGGACAAGTGGACTAGCCTCGCTGCAGAGTCAGATGCCTGGGCTGGAGTCATGGGAGAAGGTCTGGGAAGGCAGTTGGAGCCAAGCCTCAGAGGACTTCAAATGCCAGGGGTACCTGCAGAACATGGGGTTCCCCCAGGAGTGTTGTTGGACACCTACGCAGGGCTTAGCTTCATGACAGTCCTGAAGCTGGGTATCTGTATTCCCATTTTAGAGATGAAAAAATGGAGTCAGACCAAATGGTCTGCTCAAGGTCACAGAGCTAGTAAATGGCTGAGTTGGAATTTGAATCAGTCTGGCTTCCACCTACTGTACTAGCTAGGCCTGCATTCTCTCTGGAGAGAGAAACATGAAAAAGAAGAGAAACACAAAACATCAAGAGAATTAACTCGTTGGTTGAGCCACATGGAAGTATCAGTTGTGCAGGTCAGAATGGTCAAGATCGCAACGTCATTATGGTTCAACCTGGTATAACAGCAGACGGGTTTGGAGGAATGAGAAATCTCTCGGGCTGGGATGGTCAGCCGAGGTTCAAAGGAGGCGGTGGGAGTGGAGCAAGGCCTCCATGTGGACTCTGGATGGACAGAAATAAGGAGAGAGAAGGGCAGAGTGAGAGGCAGGGAGGGTAGAGACCAGCCTGATGGGCCCGCAGGTGACTTGGGGATATTTACCAGCAGGTACATATCGATAGATGGGCCCCAGGAGCTGGGAGGTGATCAAGATCCATGCTTGGGGCTCTAGGGAGACAATTCCCGATTTGAGCCATGGGTTTCTCTGTGGTTGGCCATTGGTTGTGCTGATCCTTCCTGTGTGTGCTCTCCCCGCAGGAAACAGGTGAGCAGATCGCCATCAAGCAGTGCCGGCAGGAGCTCAGCCCTCGGAATCGAGAGCGGTGGTGCCTGGAGATCCAGATCATGAGAAGGTGAGGTCGCAGCACCAGTACGCCCAGCCACTTTGACGGAGTCGCCCCCGGGGAAGATTGGGGATGGAGGGAGGTGTCAAGGGTACTGCTGGAGCTGAGGGACCATGGGACATTGAGATGAAATCTGGAGGGTGCCAGCTGAACTTTGGCATCTGGAGCAACAGCCCCGCCTGCTGCGTATCTCAGTCCCTCAATCAGAATACCGGCCACACCATCCAGGTAAATGGATTCCAGAGCAGTGGTGCTTAGTGTCCAACAACTGGGCCTCGTCAGGGGCTTCTGGGCAGTGTTATTTGTCATATGAAGGACTTTAAAATAGTTACCCCAGTGAATTTTCCTTCGTCAGCAAACATCCCTTTTCCCCCTATATTTCCAATTCCAAGGTGGCTTGTGACTCCACTGCTGTGAACCTATTGCTGATATTTATTCCTCCGGTGTGGAGACACAGCCTGTCAGTCCCTAGATGGATGCGGTCCTCCCAGCAGCCCCATCAGCTCGGAAGACCTCAAACAGGTGCTCCCTCCACAAACCTCTTAAAAAGGGGAGGCGTCACCTTGTCCGCATGCACAGACACGCATCCGGGCACTCACTTACCACCGCCACTCCAGTGGCGTGAGATTGGCAATCCCTCTACTTTCTCTGCTTCTAGAAGCAGTTTCGAAGTACGATGAGGACTTGATATGGGGCACTCAAGAGAAAATTCAGTTATACTGATGCAGCCACAGAGCTCTTGAGTTCATGGTGCCGAAAGTAGATCTGGGTGGATGCTAACGGACCGGGCACCGGGGTGAGTCGCCGGTTCCTGACCTCTGTCTTCCTACTTACTCCCGAGAGCCCCTGGCTATTCTAGGTCTTTGCTAGAAGGCGAGCTCCATTGAGACATGGTCAGAGTGGGGAATGGGTTTGAGCCAACGCTTGGGTTCCTCCCTCATGGGTTTCTTCTCCTCCTTCTTTAGGCTCAACCACCCCAATGTGGTGGCTGCCCGGGATGTCCCCGAGGGGATGCAGAACTTGGCTCCCAATGACCTGCCCCTGCTGGCCATGGAGTACTGCCAGGGAGGCGATCTCCGAAAGGTGAGGCGTCCAGGGCAGCGGGCCCGGCCTGTCCCGGCAGGAGCAGTGGGGAAGGAGACCTTTCACCTCTTTCGTCATCAGGAAGCTCAGGGAGCCCCAGTGACTTCAGCGGATTGCTTTTCCTTCTCAAATCCCCCGCCCGTGCCCCATGTGGGGTGTGAATCAGAGGCTCTTACGAGAAAGCCAGGGAAGGGCTCACTGTACGTTCTGCACAGCGATTACTAAAACGACAAGGAAACAGTCCCCGGGTCTTCAGTGTGGGGAGAGACTGGACACGCTCCAAAACAAACTGTTCCTCCCTCGGCACGTCAGGGCCGCCTCAGCCTCTCGTGTCAGCATCGCTGCTGTCCTTTTTAGGAGGGATGGCTCCCACAGATGTGGCAGCAGTGCCCTCAGGGTCCCCGAGTGGAGCAGGAAGGGGGCTGGCTCAATAGTCAGGGAACCCAGCTGGGGTTCCAGAGCCACCACTGACTCACCTTCAGGGCTCTGCTCTCTTTCTTCCCACATCAGCTTCTCTTTACGAGAACATGCACTTCAGGATGGGTGATGGCAGCTCTCCCTCATCTCAGGGACGGTAGTGTGTGTCCACCTCCCCGGTGTTCTCTGAAACAGCATCCCACGTCCTGCTTGATTCACAACCCTGTGACACTGGCTAAGCAGTTAGGATTCCCGTGTAAAGGGTGGACATCATGGCCCAGAGAGGTTAGGTGGCTACAACCCTCACCTGTGAGAACCCGAATGCAGGCCACCTCTCCACCCGTGAAGCTGGGTTTTGCCGTGTAGCAAGAGGAGAACTGAAAGCTCTGAACAGAAACATTTGTTTTGTGTTGAAATGTCCCTGTTAGTGTACCTCGCCCTCGGCTCTTCACTCTAGAGTGGGGTTTGAGAACGTCCGGCCTATAACCGTATAAGGGAGGTGGGAAGATTGAGAGAGAAACTTCACTGAGAGAGAGACACATCCATGGGTTGCTTCCCGCACACAGGGCTTGAGCCCGCAACCAAGGTACATGCCGCCCTTTCAGTCCACAGGCCGAAGCTCTGTTCACTGAGCCAAACTGGCCAAGGCTAGCAGGCTCACTGTTAAGGTGATAATTTTGTACGGCCCTCGAATGATGCTGTAAATATCCAAGTGGCCCTTGGCAGAAGAAAGGTCCCACAGCCCTGCTCTCGAAGGAGGTCCGTGAGGGGGGTGCCCTGGCAATTCTTCTGCTTTCACAGAGCAGTTTCCCAGCACCATGCGCTGTTCTCATTACTTTTTGGCCCCTTCCGCCTCCTTTCTCACCAGGAAACTTTCCGTGAAGGTTGATCTGCCCCAGTAGCTCTCTCCACCCCGGGACGTGGGCGCATCCTGGGAGTGCCACAGCAGGATGTGAGCGCAGTCGCTGTCAGGGACCGCAGACAGGGCACTGATAACAGATGAGAAATGAGGAACGTGACAACACTTCGATTTCCCTCTGTATTTTCCTAACCTTTGACAATCACCGGATTACTAACTGCAATTATTTGAGGAGATAAAGCCACGTTATGGTTGAGCAGATGGTTCTTTGAGGGCAATGTAGGGAGGTGGGATGAGACCCGGTTGTGGAGGACTGAGCAGAGGACGTCAGACTTGCTCTCGTAGGCGGCAGAGAGCCTGGCAGCCAGGGAAGAAGACACACACACTTCGGCATGATCAGCCTGGTGTGGGCTCAGGGTGCTCCGAGGAAGCAGGAAGTGATGGCAGCCCAAGGGGCCTCTGTCCGTGTTGTCACCCACAGGGTGGGGGTGGGAGAACGCGGAGGAGGGTGCTGCTGGCCAGAGTGATGGGGTTCTCTGTGTTCTCCAGATGAGGTGGCCTGTCTCTCCCTCCTCTAAAAAGTTCACAATCTACACCCTGGTCTCAGCGAGACAAGCTTGGCCAGCACGCGAGCAAGTGTAAAAGCCAGAACAGACCGAAAGAGCGGAGTCCGCATGCCCCGCTCAGGAAACAGGCTCTCGAGGGTCCATGGTTATAAGTGCTAGTCAATGACTGTAAATGTCTATTGGGAAGTTTTGTCTCTACTGCCAATTTCCAGAAGTATATTGGGCCCCTCCATAAGCTGAGAGGGCCAGCAGGGCAAAGGGGTTAAGTGTTTGGGCTTGAGCCAAAAACAGTTTGGCTCAGTGGATAGAGCGTCGGTCTGTGGACTGAAGGGTTCCAGGTTTGATTCCGGTCAAGGGCATGTAAATTGATTGCGGGCACATCCCCAGTAGGGGGTGTGCAAGAGGCAGCTGGTGAATGTTTCTCTCTCATCGATGTTTCTGGCTCTCTATTCCTCTCCCTTCCTCTCTGTAAAAAAATCAATAAAATATATTTTTTTAAAAAATGTATATTTGGGCTCGAGCCTCAGATACACACAGCTTCCTGTGCCAGCTCTGCCTGGAATGGCTGTGTGAACAGACAGGTCGCTGACCCCTCCAGTCTCAGGTTACTCACCTATGAAATGGGAATTCCACCAGCTCTTACCTCAGTGGCAGTGGGGAGGATGCAGTGAGACAGTGCAGGTAAAGCTTTACCTGGCTTATCTGTGCGGAGGTTAGCCCGGTGCCAGGCACGTAGTAAGTGCTCATTCAGTATTCCCTCCTGTAATCATCACCCCACTGCAGGGCAATGCTGGGAAGCGGTCAGAAGGTATTTTTAGCGACAGCCTTCCACCCTGCCTGTTGTGGGACGGTCAGGCCCCGTAGACCAATTGTGATTGTGCTTAGACTCTGGCCTGTCTCCCTCAAAACTGCACCGCAGGTGAGACTGAAAATCCCTCATCTTAGAATGACTCAGAGGCACCTCAGCTATTCGTAACCGAGTGCTTCTTGGAGTTCTCAGTCTGCTTCCTCCTCTTCCGCCTCGGGCCAGTTCCACTGCCCATCAGCCCAGGGTCCCCAAAGCCCAGAGCCAGGGTCTGCACTCACATGATTTCAGCTGATAAAAGCCCCTGGGGGACTTATTGGTGGTGGGTGACCAGTCAGCCTGACACTTCTTTCCATCTTCTTGACAGTACCTGAACCAGTTTGAGAACTGCTGTGGCCTACGGGAAGGAGCCATCCTCACCTTGCTGAGTGACATTGGTAAATCCTAGACCTGGAAGGCAGGTCTAGCCCCTCCAGGGAGAGTGTGGGGTGCCCCTGTGAGTCCTCGTGGGGCACAGCAGAGAGATTTTGGTCATTACAGAGGGCTGAGGTGTGACAGACAGACAGCGTGGGGAGGTCAACAAGGGGTTAGGCCAGCCAGGCAGGCGCTGAACTCAAATAGATTTCCCTTCCTTCCGGACTAAGTCATGAAGTGAATTATGATGTATATAGAGCAACAGATTTCCTTTCCCATTACAAATCTCCCCTCCCTACTTTCCTGGAATGGCCAGCGGCGGGGCAGGTTGTCACTTGAACGAATCTCACCCCTTTGCAATGACTTTTTCCACTTCCACTCTGGGCAGCTCTTTTGCCAACCCCAGGCATAGGAAAAACCGCCCTTGTTCAATCCTGGGGCACTGATGGTGTCCTCAGAGGGGGGTGTCAGTGGCACTCTCTGAGAAGGCAAGACTGGCTTCAGAAGAAGAGTGATCACTGACTACAGAGGTCAGAAGCAATGCCAGGTTGACTGAGATCTAGAGTTATCCAGACTTTATCACTGAGTGTTGCCCTGAGATTTGGGGAATGATATACCATTTTCATCCCTTTCTCACGGGAACATTTTTAAAGCTGTATTTCATTTGCTCACACTTTATTTTATAGAAAAATGCCAAACATACAGAAAAGTTGAAAGAGTAGTCCAGTGAAACCCACATACCTGTCACCTAGATCCACCACTTGTTACCATTTTGCCCCAAGCTGTGTTCTTCTAAGTCTGGGCCCAGTCTCTAAGACACTTTGCCTTGCTACTGTGGGTCTGCCTCTAACTTGCACTATGCCACTATATACACACACACACACACAGAGTGGCCAGATTATTATGATCTCTGAATGCATAATAATCTGGCCACTCAGTGTATATCCTATATAATAAAAGGTTAATATGTAAATTGTCCCCTCAACCAGGAGTTCGACCAACAGGCAGGCCGGCCAACTGCTCATGTCCCTTTCCCCTGGCCAGGCTGGCCGGACCCTACCCATGCACAAATTCATGCACCAGGCCTCTAATATATATATATATATATATATATATATATATATATATATATATATATATATCACACACACACACACAATACACACACACACACACATACACACACACACTGAGTGGCCAGATTATCATGTGTTCAGAGATCATAATAATTTGGCCATTCAATATATAAGTGTGTGTGTGTGTGTGTGTGTGTGTGTGTGTATAATAGAAACATAATATGCTAATTAGACCCGATAGCTGAACAACCTTCCAGATGTCATTCTGGACATCCTTCCGGATGAAGCTGTGGTGGCGGGGCCGAGGCAGAGGCAGTTAGGGGCGATCATGCAGTCAGATGAGCAGTTAGGGGTGATCATGCAGGCAGGCAGAATGGTTATGGGTGATCAGGCAGGTAGGGAGAGTGGTTAGGGATGATCAGGCAGGCAGGTAGGTAGATGGTTAGGGGTGATCAGGTAGTTAAGTAAGTGGTTAGGGGCGATCAGGTAGGTAGGTGAGTGGTTAGGAGCCAGCAGTCCCAGATTGCGAGAGGGATAACAAACTGCCAGGTTAGGCCTGATCCCTGCATAGCAAATCTGTTCATCCTATAACCTTTTGCTTGATGTCACTGCTTTAAGGGACATCTTTAGGAAATCTGACCCCAAGAAGTGAGTCAAGTACTGTTCCTATGTTTTGCTATAGCATTTTCTGCTCAGCTACATTCTAGGTCCTATCCCCACTGAAATCTGATTCACCTGTCTCCCTCCTGGACTGTAAGCTCCTCAAGGGATTGGGCCTAAACCAACAGTCGGACATCTCCCGAGGGATCCCGGATTGCGAGAGTGTGCAGAACAGGCTGAGGCCTCCACCCCATGCATGAATTTTGTGCACTGGGCCTCTAGTATATCCATATATCTTTATGTCTCTATCTTAAATTGATTTTTAGAGAGAGAGAAAGGGAGGGAAAGAGAAACATTGATATGAGTGAAACATTGATTGGCTGCCTGATGCACGCCCCTACCAGGGATCTAGTCTACAACCTGGGCATGTGCCCTGATTGGGAATCAAAAAGACAAACTTTTGGTGCATAAGATGATGCCCAGCTGACTGAGCCACACTAGTTGGGCACTCTGTGCCACTTTTGATGGAAAGTGGGCAAGAAGGAAATGAAATGGGGCAAAGTTAAACAATGACATATTTAAGATTAAGATCCAAACAGTCTGCTGACCACTGGCTCAGTGGATAGAGCGTCAGCCTGTGGACTCAAGTGTCCCAGGTTCAAAACCAGTCAAGGCGTGTACCTTGGTTGCGGGCACATCCCTAGTAGGGAGTGTGCAAGAGGCAGCTGATCGATGTTTCTCTCTCATTGATGTTTCTAACTCTCTATCCCTCTCCCTTCCTCCTATAAAAAAAAAAAAAATCAATAAATAAAAAATAAATTAAAAAAAAAGATCCAAACAGTCTGAAAATTTCATCTCCTCCTCTATCCTGTGTCTTTATCTTTTGGATAGAGTTCACAGTAAGGGCAGTTTGACATTGCACCAATTAGATCTGATTGGGGTGGATATCCATCACTGGCCAGACTGATTCCTTCATGCATTGGCCCCTGTGGATCTCCTGGCAGGGTCCTGTTTGTCTTATCTAGAGAGTCTAGTCTGTAGGTTGAGAATCTCATCTGTGTCTTTGACACCTTGTTACATGGCTAGCCCATCTACATTTTGCTCAGACATTTACTTGATTGTTTTCCCCGGTGGCCAGATCATTAATTTATTCTCTGTTGAGTTGGGTTGAAAGCAGGTTAATAGGTTGGGGGCTATTTTGCTCTTCATGGGCAACTTTTATTTTGTTTCTCCCTTGTTAGGGCTTCAAGTAATTTAGTAAAATGTTTTCCTTGCCAACATTTTTCTTTCACACATCATGCATTCAGCAAATAGTTATTAAGAAAGTCTTAAATTATTGGCTTAGGCACACATAACTGTTTACTTCCTCATATAACATTATACTTCCTCAAGCGATTCTCTAGTGATATTAATAGAAATTCTTCCAGTTGTATATCCAATTACCACTGACTTGTGGAGTAGCTTTTGTACTATTTATTACCTGTTTAAGTTGTATGTGTGTGTTTAAGATATCTGTAAATCAGAATAACCAAGAGGTAAACATCCAAGGACTTAACGTTGCTGTTCAGTTCACTTATAGGTGAATGAATATTAAAATTCTTTAGGTCTCTGATTTCCTATCTTTTCTCTTCATGACCACAAATTGGTATTAATGAGGTGTTGAAGTAGTAGTAAACTAGAATTAAATTCTCAAAGGTGGAGACTGAAGTCATTGCTATGACTTCAGCGTTTGGAACCATAATATCTTATCTAGCAGCTTCTCCATAAACATTTGTCAAATGAGTGAAATAAATTCCAAGATAAATTAAAATAAGTAAGGACCTATTAAAAAGAAAGATATCCACATATATGTAACACTCCCAGGTCAAATACCAGCTCCTCTGTTAATTGGCAGTGTGACCTTAGGCATGCTACTTCATTTTTAAGAACATCAGTTTTATTAGCTGTGAAATGGGACCATTACTCCCATTATTAGAATTGTTATGAGGATAAAATGAGATGATGTAGCTGAGACCAGTTTGGCTCAGTGGATAGAGCGTTGGCCTGTGGACTGAGGAGTCCCAGGTTCGGTTCCGGTCAAGGGCATGTACATTGGTTGCGGGCATATCCCCGGTAGGGGTTGTGCAGGAGGCAGCTGGCTGATGTTTCTCTCTCATTGATGTTTCTAGCTCTGTATCCCTTTCCCTTCCTCTCTGTAAAAAATCAATAAAATATATATTTTTAAAATGAGATGATGTACCTAGGGCTTCTAGAAGAACTGCAGTCACCAAGTGTTGGTTTCTTTCTCATTTCCTTTCCCCTCTGGATTTGGATGTAGAGCATCCCTTTTGAAAATCTTATCCTAATATGGGTGTGGACCTGGGATTGGGATCCAGTGAGCCAGGTAGGAGGTTGTCTTTGAAACTTCTCTTCCTCAGACCCATTCCTATCAGCCAGTTTTTGTAAGCAGTTACCTCCCCTGCCTTTGTTATGGTTGGTTGAGGTGGCTGATAACGTTGTATTTTACTTTTTTTTTTTTTCTTCCCATTTCTGATTTGTATATTCATCAAATTTATTTCTTTTGCAAGCGTTTTGTTACTGAGCCAGAGGTCAAAAGCTTTTCTTGGAGCTCATCTCACTTAACTGTTCTGTACTCTGAAACATTTCCTGAACTTATTTTGGTCTAGTTTGTTTCAAGTGCTGGCACCACGTTCCCTTTGTTGGAGTTGCCACTTCTGTTCTCTGCCAGGTTGACTTCAGATAAGCGGCACCCTTCACTGCTGGGTCGGGATTCATTGCCTTCTGGGTTACACCTGTGTAACCCCACCCCCACCCCACCCCCATATCTTCTGTGCCACTCACTTCCCAGAGATGCCCATTCAGAGCAGCACCAAGATAATAGACACAGGTAGGATTTTCCCAGTGAACTTTCCGTTGCCCGAGAAGTGCTGCAGTGTACATGTGAGAACATGAGCAGGTGCTTGGCGAGCACATGGTGAACCCTGTTTCCTCTGCCAGGGCAGGCCAGTTCTACCATTGTTCTCTGCTGGTAAGAGATCCGGAGACAGGTGCAGGGGCAGCTAGGAAATATTTGTCTTCCCAAGAATATGATTCTAAAATAGCTTAAGAAGGTTGTATCTGAATGGACTCTATTAAAGCAGTCTTGCTCATTGTTCTTTGGAAAACATTGGCGTGTATTTCCTTTTGTCAGTAGAGGAGCAGACTCCTGGGCACTCAGGATTGAGGCACAGATTGGAATCCCACGTCTCCGCTCTCTGAGGGTGGGGACCCGCCACGCAGGCCAGCTGGGTGGGCCAGTTGTGCATTTGCCAGGGTCTTACTCAGTTTCAGATCTGACTCAGTCTTCC